GTTATACGCAAACAATGAATCATGGAACACTACATCAAAAACTAGTGATGTAATGTATGGTGACTCACATAACATAATAAAATAAAATTAACAACCCCCCCACACAAATTCTCAATATAATAATATTTGTAATAGTGAAAAATTATAGCCTACATCTCTAATAAGGAAGTGGAAAATAAATGGTGGTTTATCAATAAAAAAAAAAAACAACCTGAGAATATGAACATTTACATAAAATCTCAGCTACCATGAGTTTGATTTTATGGTGGCAGAGTGGGAGTCAGACGGATTAAGAGCAACCTGATTTGGGTGAACCAGACCCTCACAGACTATGTGCATCTAAAGACTTTTATTTGGGGGATGCCTGGCTGGTTATTTGGTAGAGCACACGACTCTCAATCTATGGGTCAGGAGTTCAAGCCCCACGTTGGGCGTGGAGCCTCCTTAAAAAATAAATAAATAAAATGAAGACTTTTATTTGAGTAACACACGTGAGGATAGAATATTGACAATTCCATAAACAGAAGCAAAGCTACATATCAATCCAGTGCAATGCGATATGGTGACAGTGATCTAAGTTACTATGTTCAGTTCTGTTTTAAATCAGTGCACTTCAAACTCAGAGTTCTTTGCTGACTTGCTGACACGGCCCAGGCAGATCAGGTGGAGTCTAGACCAGCGAGTTATTTTGTGGTCCTTCTGCTCCCCTCCCATTTAATTAAGAGTTTGTGAACTTAACTCTACCTCATAAGAACTCAGTTAATATTAGTTCAGTTAGTTAAATCATCATTTCACCTATAATCCTTGCACCCACAGCTGTCTGGAGATGCTCAGGTTCTCCATCGTACAGCTTCCCCCCACAGCTGTGAGACCTCCCTTCCTCAGTGACCTCAGAGCATTCATTTCAGTGTTAGTGATTCTCAAATACAGTGAGAATCACTAACACTGTAAGGGTTTTGTCTGTTAATACCCTACTAATTAAATCCTCTTAAAAATGTGTTCTCATTGAATCCAAAGTGCCATCATCAGGTCACACTTAACCCTCTCTTCATATTTCTTATACTACACCTGGCCAAACCATCAGGTTTCTCTGCATCCTCCATCAAAACCATCTTTCCTATTTTTTTTTTTAAAGATTTTATTTATTTGAGAGAGAGCGTGCATACACAAGTAGGGGGAAGGGCAGAGGGAACGGGACGGGCAGACTCCTCACTAGCGTGGAGCCTGGGGCTTGATCCCAGGACCCTGAGATCATGACCTGAGCTGAAGTCAGATGCTTAACTGACTGACCACCCATCTTTCCCCTTAGCTGAGGGTCACTCACTGGAAATAATTTGTAAAGAAGATACCATATATTAGCATCTGCACAGCAAAGGAAACAATCAACAAAACTAAAAGCCTATGGAATGGAAGAAGATATTTCCAAATGACATCTCTGATAAAGGGTTAGTTCCAAAATATATAAAGAAGTTATACAATTTAACTCCCAAAAAACAATCCAATGAAAAAATGGGCAGAAGACATGAAAAAAATGTTTCTCCAAAGAGGAAATACAACTGGCCAACAGACACATGAAAAGGTGCTCGACATCACTCATCATCAGGGAAATGCAAATCAAAACTACAAAGAGATATCACCTCACGCCCTTCAGAATGGCTAAAATAAAAAACACAAAAAACAACAAGTGTTGGTGAGGATGTAGAGAAAGGGGAACCCTTTGTGCTGTTGGTAGGAATGCAGACTGGTGTAGCCCCTGGGGAAAACAGTATGGAGGTTCTTCAAAAAGTTGAAAATGGAACTACCTTATGGCTCAGTAATTGCACTACTGGGTATTTACCCAAAAAAATACAAAAACACTAGTTAAAAGGGATACAAACACCCCTGGGTTTATTGCAGCATTATTTACAACAGGCAAGTTATGGAAGCAGCCCACATATCCATCTAGAGATGAATGGATAAAGAAGATGTGGTGTATATATATTGTGGAATGTTACTCAGCTGTAAAAAAGAATGAAATCTTGCCGTTTCCAACAACATGGATGGAGCTAGAGAGTATAATGCTAAGCAAAATAAGCCAAAGGAAGACAAATACCATATGATCTCACCATATGTGGAGTTTAAGAAACAAAACAAGCAAAGAAAAAAAAGAAACCAAGAAACAGTCTCTTAGCTATAGAGAATGGACAGAGGAGAGGTCAGTGGGGGGGAATGGAGAAATAAGTGATAGGGATTAAGAGGACACTTGTGATGAGCACTGAGTAATGTATAGAAGTGCTGAATATTGTACAACTGAAACTAATATAACACTATGTTAACTATACTGGAATTAAAGTTAAAAATTTAATAAAAAAGTAAAAAAAGAAGATACCATTTATTTTCTTTACACATTTCACAAATAGTATGTAATTTATATATTTTGTTATTGTCAGTTTATCAAAATATAATAAAATGTTCACATATATTGTGTTTCATTACATAAATAATAGAAACTGATTTAAATATCACATCCATCATGATACCCAGGATGGATAATTGAAAGAAGTTTAGACTCTAAGAACAATGTGTAAAGAATTGCAGTTCCTTGGAATTGCTTTGTTTGTTTCTACAATACAGAGCTCCGGGAGAGCAAGGATTTTGTCTTACTGTTCTCTGCTCTAGTCCCAGTGCCCACAGGATAGGGACTCAAGACACATTTGTAAACAATTCATTCTTTAGTTATACGTTTCTGATTATAAGTTGTAAGTTTCCAAATATCTAACAAGTACCCATTAAAAATTTTAAGGGAAGCTAATGTTAAATTCAAGTTGTAGAGTCAGTATGGTAGTATGATGGGAAGCTCCATGTTTGGGGAAGAAAGTAAGAGACAAGGGAATTTGCCGTTGAAAGGGGGAGGTTTCATGTGTCATGTGTGGATTTTAATTTTTAAAAGTTTATGTTGAAAAATTTCAAAGTTCAGAAAAGTTTCATGAGTAGAAAATGAACTCCTGTGTGCCTTTCTCCCACACTCACCAGTTGGTAATATTTTGCTACAGTTTTTCCTCTCTCTCTAATGGTGTAATAAATACTCTCTTTACTATTGTTATAAGTAAACTGTTTGAGTGTGTGCAGGCATCATGACTTTTGCTCCTTTGTATCTCTCTTAAGAGCAAGATGATTCTCCTCGATAATGTCAGTGCAGTTTAGGAAATTGAACATTGATAAAGTACTGTTAACCAGTGTACAGTGTAAATTTCACCAATTGCCACAATAATTTCCTTGTTAGCTGTGCTTTTGGAGGGTATTGGGGGTAGGGGTCGAGTGTTTTTTCCCTCAACAGGATCATACATTGCATTTAATTTTCACATCTCTTCAACCTGCTTCAAACTGGATTCATTTTTCAACTTGCTTTTGTCTTTATGACATGAGCACTTTGGAGGAGTATAGGTCAGTGGTTTGTAGGTCAACTTGGGTTGGTCTGTTTCATCATGATTATATTCCAGTTATGCATTTGTGGCAAGAATTCCACAGAAATGATGTGTCTTCCTCAGTACATCATATCAAGAGGCTTTTGATGTCAGTTCGTCCCATCGTTGGCTATACTCATTTTGATCACTTGAGTGGGGTGTTTACCAGGTTTCTCTACTATAAAGTTAAATCACAAAGATTTATCTACAGAAATCTTTATATGTTTATATACATAAGTATATATTATATGCATTATATTTATAAAGGCTTTTTCCTTTTCATTAACAAGTAACCTGGGGATAGTGTTACTTAGACACTGTGTAATTATTCTGTTCATCAGACTTGACTCGATGGCTTTAATATCCATTGATAATTCTTGCCTGAATCGATTCAGGCAGTCACGGCTGCAAACTGATGGTTTCCTAGCTCTAGTATTCTTTCTGTATTAATTAGTTGTCTCTCCCTCCTCGCGCAGTGTTAGATTATTTGAAATCTGGATAATCCAGAGAGGCTTATCAGCTGTGTTTGCATGTGGCCTGGGGAAGGGCTCCCATCCCATTCTGTCCAGCCTCACAACTTCGGCTGACTTTGTAACTCCTTGGCCTGCCTTTTGATTATGAATGAGGTAGAAGTGTTTGTTTCATTTTTACATTTATGACTAAACTGAAAAATAGAATCACTGCCATTAAGAAATTGGTTCTTTGCATTGTAGGCCCAACATGATGGTAGCGTCTACCCCTCAGGCGCCAGCCACACAAACCAAGATTGACATCCAGAAGCTGTTTATATCATGCATCGACTAAATTTACAGAAGGAAGTAATGTGGACTTGGGGTCTGATTCTGAGTGACTTAGGTGGTTTCATTTCTCGTCCCTGAGCCTCAGATTTTATGACTCTGAAGAAGAAACTATTACAATTGTCCTGTCTTGTCTTAGGGTTATGCTGGGGATCAAATGACATGGTACGTGGGAAAGTGCTCCCTAGGCCCCAGGTGCTAGGAGACTTCCTGGCCAGATTGTTGAGAGCTATGAAATGTGTTTCCATCTCCCTGTATAAGTATTCTTGCCAAAGTGTTCATCTGAATCAAATCATGAGGAAACAAATTCAGATTGTGAGACATTGTATTAAACAACTGGCCTGGATTCTTCAAAAATATTAATGTCGTAAAAGACCAAAAGGACGAGAGAACCCAAAGACACAACAGCTGTCATGGTGGGGGGAGGGGGATGAAGCAACTGTAAGGATATCATTGAGACAACTCATCAAGTTTGAATGTGGATTCAGTACAAAATAATATCATATAGAGGTTAAGTTCCTTGGGTATGATAATGGTGTTGTTAAAAAGGACAGTGTTTTTGTTCTCAGGTACTTCGTGCCGAAATATTTAGGGATGGTAACGCGATTGAACCATTGATGTCTACAACTTATTTTCAAACGGGTCTACAAAAATAAAAATAATACATATGTAAATACACACGGGGGTATGCACAAAATGTTCAAAACTGGTGAATCTAAGGAGGCGTATGCAAGTGCTTATTCTTTCTATAATTTTGAATTTTTTAACATAAAGATAGGGGAAGGAATGTACTTTAATAAAATAAAACTGGTCTGAAACCACTTGAGGACAAAGTGGTCCATTGTATTTCAAGTCATTATTATATCCTGATGGGGGGGGGAAAAAAGGCAGGCTAAGGGATTCTCTGAAATACAAAGAAAGGAAGGGAACCTAATTTAAATTTAAATGTAAAGTAGCGATTTAAGGAGATAAAAATGTTAAGGGGATTAACATGGTGCCCAATACAACCCATTAAGTGTTCAATAAATGTATGGAAGCACACACACACTCTCTTTCCTCACATCCGGCATATTTGAGCCTCCACCATAAGTCACAGGTTCAGTAAACCCAGGTTTCATTGGCACCCACATTTTGACTCTTCCCAACCGCCTCTGCCAACAGGCTGGCCTTTCTCTCGTGTGGCATCCAGAGAAAGACTAATTCCTGTGTGAGACTGTTAGAGCGATAAACTCTGTGGAATTTTCATAATTAAAGAAAAATAGAGGAAAGACTTCTTATTGCAAAAGATCTACTCTTTGCCTCAACGAGAAGAAAATCATGCCCATTTCCAAATTCCTCTCCAGTCGTGTATGCAGTGCCCTATGAAGCTGCTCATTCTTCATCTTGGTTAACTACAACACAGCACCATAGAAATAGGGCGAGACTGTCGTATGAGCCCATAAGTGCATAACTAATCTTGAATTGCTGGATGGAAGTGGAAAATGGAACAAACATGCACGCCAGCTATAAAAAGCCCCGAAACATAAACAGGAGCACTATGATTCCTGACTTTGCCACAAGGAGATGATGATCGATTTTTCCAGGGCAAGGAGTTCTATTTGCAAGAGCAGCCTTATGCAGCTGTTTTTTTCCTTTGTGTTGTAAAAAGAGAGTTACAGGGCAATTTGCAACTAACTAGTCTTAGCTTTGTTTTCTTCTCCTTAGTAGTAAAAAATCTCCTTTTTGGGGGGAGAGAGAGAGAGAGAGAGAGAGAGAATGAATTTTGGTCTTCTTGGGCTCTGGGGACCCTTCTCAGATTTGCAAGTTTTTGTTTTGTGACCTCTGTCTTTATCCCTAACAAGTAATTGAGAACGATTTCTTACTCTCGAATCCAATTTTGGGTTAGTAGGAGGGACAGGAGAACTGGCTTTACATCCTAAATTCCAGTTCTTTTTGTATAGTTTGGGAATTTCCAGCATCTCTGTTTCTGTACAGGTAAACAAGAGAAAGGCAAGGATGAAGCTGCCCATCTCCCACTTTAAAGGGAGAAGTCACGGGCATGTTTCAGCTCTCCAGAAGAACCATGTGAGATAGAGTGAGCCCACGAATAAGAACAGCATTGAAGTTAGCTGTAGTATCGCTGATAGGAAGTAAGACTTAATTAATAATTCAGAATTCACGAGTCTTAATTAAGCTGGGAACAACACACTTCAGCTTCTCAGACCACTAAGTCTCTTTCTAAGTCCCCCCCACCCACCTTGAATAGTTGCACTTGACCTTTCTTTTTGGTCAATTTCACTTACCAGGAGCTAGTTCTGTAAAACTGTGAATTTGCTAGTCTGTGGTCATTGCCTAATAGATTCTCAATTCACATGTAGATTTCTCAGTTTTTTTTTTTTTTTCTTGAAACAAAAAGGTCAGAGTTAGGAGGCTTCAAGATCATGGAGTTCTACTTTTTTATCCTATGGATGTCAGAATTAAGGCCAGCGAAGAAAACACTTACTAGCTCAGTGTACTGGTCTAGTCTAGCGCCCTTTGTCGAGCACCAGCTCCTATTCTATACCATCACCCCGTTAGCCTCTCCTCATCTGTATTTCCAACGACAACTGACAGCAAGACAGTTCCTGTGCTTTTGAGTTACAAAGGACTGATGTCTGCTCTATGTAAATTTGACATCCAGGCTATCAAAAGAGAACTGTATGTGAGATTCTTGAGGCTGTATCTGATGAAAAACTTAGCAATTGGAGAATATTAATACTGCAGTAAGGTGGTATGTATCTACTATGTATGTCTGTATTTATCTCCTTACTGCAACGTTAGATAGATAATCTTCTTAATAATACATTCTGTTAGGGCGCCTGGGTGGCTCAGCTGGTTAAGCGACTGCCTTTGGCTCAGGTCATGATCCTGGAGTCCCGGGATCGAGTCCCGCATCGGGCTCCCTGCTCGGCAGGGAGTCTGC